AGGGACTCCCTGACTCATGGGGCTGTTTAACAGTTAGCTACAGGCTGAGGATCTTAAACACAAGCCAAAGTGATCTTGGGCAGCACACCTTGGGGAGCAAGTCCTCTCTACGCCAGCAACTGGTAGGAGTAGCAGTCAACACGGTGTGATCAAGTGCTCCTCAGCAAAGCCTCGAGAGTGTGGCAGGGCTCTCGCAAAGTCAGCAGGTCTTTGCTTCTTCCTGGAAAGAAACGCAGCTCCCATAGCTGCATTTGTGAGCCCACCGTCAGGCTCACACTTCATCCCCTTTTTGTTTAGACTCAAATTGTTTGCAACATGTAAGTCTACTTATATTCACTTCTTTTCTCTCTCTAGAAAACGCAGACCGTGACAAAGTCATTAGTAAGTACCACCAGAATTACTGCTTCCATTCGTTGCCCTTGGTGCAGTTATACTTGAAAACAAGTAACTTGTTTTGTTCACAGCGGATTCCTGGTGGTATCCAGACTGGGACAGGCCTGCATGTGACGTGTACTGCATCATCGTTGTTGCTTTAAGGCCATTACTCCTTATGCTGACAGTTCTGGCCACCTGGCTCCTACCAAAATACTGGTCAATAGCACCCACCAGTGAGTGACACATGTGCAGAAGACCATGAGCGCACTTAGGTTAGCCGATCCCTTCCCTGCACGTAAGTTACTGGCAGCACAAAGATCGGTGGAGACGTTGCTTGTGTCCACAGGTGATTTAGAAGCACTGAAACACCATCTTCATTGCAGGCAGCAGCTAGGAGAGCTGATAAGCAGCCTTCTCATTGCTCAGAACCAGTAACCAGTTGTAGATTACCCATGTGTTTTTTCAGAGCGGAGCGGTGTCAGCGGGCTTGGGTGGGTAAGGGGCACGCTGCCCAGGCAGCACGCTGAGGCGCAGGCAGCTGCCCACCACGCTTGCTTCGGAAGGGCTGGAGGGTGCCCAGCCCTGCAGCCGGGCCCCGGCCGAGGCCCTGGGCAGAGCACTGCACGCACCTCTCTCGTCCCTGTTGCTCTCTTCCCTTGGACATTCCTCCAGCAAGATGCAGAGTAGCCTGGAGAGGCTTTTCATTTACATGTTGTTTTATAATAATTTTTGGATCTGTGTGAGCTCTGGCATTTGCATCCTGTGGCAGCCAGTGCATTTCCCGGTCTCACAGTGCACGGGGGCCACTGGTACTTCTTTTTGCTCAGAATTTGGTTTTAAACACACATCAACTGCATCAAGACATAGTTTCGCCTGTCTTTACACATGATTACGTATCACTGCAATCTTTCCTGTTTCCTGTTTTTTTTTCTCTCTTTTTTCTGAGCATAGAGTTTTTGACTGCTGTTTCAAACAATAAATCATTATGTCCTGCTTCCCATGTATGGCAATCGCATATTTGCAACATAACCTAAAGCTTAACTGCTGGTGCACAAAAAAACTCCACATTCGGCTCCAACCCACACAATGCCGAAAAACACAGTGCTGGGAAAGATGGCGTAAACCTCCAGGTAACATCATGCTGTGCCCATAGTTACGCCTTTGGTTCAACAGCTGCCAAGGGATGAGTCCCCTGGAACCCGCACATCTGGAGCAGGCAGAAAGCTGCGGGGACGGCTGCTGTGTTCAGCTGGGCATGTCCTCCACCCACCGTAGCTCCAGCAGAGGCTGGATGGAGCCGAGCTGCAGAAGCTCACAGCTGGGTGGCAGCAATCCGTGTCTGCTCAGGGTGGGTTTAGACGCCTCTGCACCGTGCCCCTCTGCACTGTGCACCTCTGCAGGGCACAGGCATACGCTGCTGTAAGGGAAGCCGGGAAGTTCCCCTCAATGCTTCGATTCTGGGGTTCTGCCCCTGCAGTACCTGTCAGCGCTTCTGCGTACCCACTGCCGACCCCGCTGCTGGGGGGGATCTTAACTGAAAACCCTGGAACTGGGACCCGGAGTTTCTCATGTTACTCTTCCAGGTAGTTAACGGCTTGCACTCGCATCATCTCAGCATCACAGCATTTCCTGATTAAGTCATTTTTCAAAATGCAAATATGGCTGGGGCCAAAATTCCGAACTTTGCCCTTGATACATCTTTAGATTTAGTTTGTTGGCTACCAGAGCCTCCATAGCCAACACACCACGACTGCAGACAGGAGCAGTTTCTCTTCCACGCTCCAGTAACCAGGGTCCCAGTGCCCACGCTGGCCTACTTGTGAGAGAGCCAAGTGCAATTCTCTCTTCCAAACTGGGCAGATTATGGTGTTTGAAAAAAAAATCACCATTGGACCCTACTGCTGCAGAGGGGAGCGCAGGAGAGGAAAGAGCACATGCTGATGCATCCAGGGAGCAGAAATGAGCTCAGCAGGCATTCTCCCCTGCCTGGTTTAGTCTACGCTGCTTGGTCTCCAGGAGAGTAAACAGAACAAACACAGAGCCCTTAAAGTTCAAAGCATTCACAGCATTGCCATTTGACTATACACTTCAGCAGCTCTAAGGAAATACCATACAAAAAGCTTCATTAAAAAGCCTGTAAATCACTGGGGCTTAGGGGAAAAAGATGTCCAAACTTTACAACATGGTATCCTTCAAACAAAAAAGCCTGAAAGTCAAGAAGTCAAAGCTAAACAAGTACTGCATCTCATTGTAAGGACATCCAAAAATCCAGAGATTTAACTCCTGATGATCAAACCACTTTGAACTGTCCACATCTACGGCATATGCCCATGAGTTCCATAAGATAAATGCCAAACACTGACATATCAATACAGCCTTCGGGTACTTTTGTTGCAAGTCTGTAAACTCTAAAATCAGTTTAAGGAGATAATTTGCAATAGTTCAAGCTGTTCTGAAAATACCAAAAAAACTTTTTTACCCTTCCAAATCCACTTTGTTTTCTATTCTTTACTTTTTACACAGGTGTTAGAACTGTATAGCCACATTGTCTCAGAAAACAGCTGCAAAAAGCACCAACAGCGAGCCCATGCAGCCAGTCATTGTTCGCATAGGAACTCTAAAGCAGACAAATCCTTTGGTTCACTTGCCTACAGGAATATGAGTAGGCTTTCTTGATTTTCCAGTTTAAGTAGCTAGACGTCCAGCCAACAATCCTTGAAACCTGTCAACCATAACAACTGAAAAGGATTCAATACAATGCAAAGACTTTTCACTCCTTAGCAACAGAAGGACAAGACTTCCTAAAGTCTGTTCAGCGTTTGACTACGCATAGGGATTTCTCTGCAAAAGCTACACAGATGCCTCAGCTGTGAGTCCTAAATTAAAAACAGCACACTTCCATGGAAGTATACATAATTTAAGACCAGGCTGCCACCAAGCTGAGCTATGTTTTCCTGCACTGCAACTCAGACAACCAGGCAGTTGGGTGATGCAGCTGGAGAATGCTTTTTTGTAGGGTGCTTTCAGTGAGTTCAGGTTCCTGAAGTGAAATCCCAGCCTGCAAGTCCAGTGTAGAGCAACCAGCCCTACACTTGCTTTTAACTTTTTAAACAACAAACAGGGGAACACCTGTGCCAGCCCTCTGCAGTGAAAGTGGCCTCATCCAGCCTAGATGAGAACCAAGGACTCTCCCTCCTTCCCTGGCTATGGTCAGCCTCCTCCTTACTGGCTCCTGCTACTGCAGAAGCACTCATTCGTGGGATCACGCTGTGAGAACAGACGTTTAAACTAATACCTGACTGGTGCTGAACTTTGGTCGCTGCTGTACACCATCAGATGCTAAACACCCATTGGCGTTTCTAAAAATCTTTTCTAAACCTATCAGCTCACTACAATTTCTGAAATGGGTGTTTGTGACTTCTTCATCATATTCTCAGCAAAATATCTGTATTTTCCTCCTTGATTCCACAACTAAACTGCCGTCTACAAACAATGCAGTCCTGAAAAGGACTGAGAGCATTTTTTCCTTAACAACTAAGTGCCAACAAGTGATCACGCAACCGAAAGGCACGCTAAGGCTAGTGCTGTCCCCTGCCCCAAAGGACAAGCATCTTAGCTATTTCTCAACATGCACGTACTACTCAACCACATCTATTCTAAATTCTTATTTACATATGTAAAAAAGGAAATGGCAGTGTTTTCACTTACCGGTTTCAAATACAAGGGCACCAACCTAAAAGCAGTGAGTTGCAATGTTCTAGTACAATCATTTCCACTGCATGTGCAGGTGATCAAAACTCCAAAACCTGGCAAAAGCACTCCAATACAATCACGATATTGGTGTAGCTGTACTACCTCCTAACCATTACATTTGCTTCTTTAATCTCAGATGTATGAAATAAGCAATATCTGCTCTTCCGGTGACCTCTATTTCATCACAATTTGCGTTTTCAGGAAACTAAAAACCTCTAAACTTCCTTCAAAAAAAAGGGGAAGTGCCTCAAAAAAAGAAAAAAAAGGAACACAATTTCTTATACTTTCTTCTAAGCAAGAAATAAATAAAGAAAATATTAAAAGAAAGATAACAAGACACTATGCTATTCCTCCAGCACATTCTGTGTGGAAAGACGCTTGCTTTGTACCACACTCTGTCTAACGGCCTCCAGTATAATGCTAATAAATCACAGATTATAAATGGCATTCAGTTAAGATTATAGTTTGCCTAATTCTCACATAAGTTGTGAGCTTGTTTCCTGGAAAATAACATGTAGGTTGTGCAGCAGATGACTAATGAAAGGATTTAAGAACAATGTATTAAAATAGTTTATTAACACCAAGACAAGACACGCAAAAACAATCAGCTTTTACAGAAACAAAAAGCATAATACAATAATAAATCTTGACTGTTTTGCAAAAGTTATCACCAAAACTGAGGCTGCATTTAGCCTGGTAGTCTTTCACACAAGAACTACCTTAAACTCCCACCAAGTTCTCTGACGCTAATGTTTAATATCTTGCATCAAACTCCTAAATGTTTCTATTATGAAACCTTCCCTTTAGGCAGATGGATATTATCCACGCACACTCTCTTACTTTCTCAAACAACACAGCAGTGCAGATTCTCTTCACCAACCTCAGTAATTTTGCACAGCTACTTCAGGTCCACTAATTAAAGTGTACTTATGCAAAGAGAATTATCTTTCTACCCATCTTCTCTTGTCCAGATTATACTGACAGCAAGAAGTCTCAAATCTTCCAAGCGTGAAAATGTTCACTAACACGAAAGAAAGGTGAACATCTCAGGTGGTGAATTACTTCTTTTTCTTTTTTTTCTTTTCATCTGCTGCCATTTTTAACTTGACTTCTTCCACAGGAAGTGCTCCTAATTTCTTCTTCTTTGCATTCTTTACCTTTTCCTTGATGGCTTCAATATCAATTTTTTTCTCAGTGGAGGCTACATAGTAAAAAACACAAAGATAGCAGACAGGAATTTTACTTTCTCTAAATTTCAACAGTCTACAAGATGACTTCACATATAAACACAGTAAACTGCATCCTGTGGCATTGGTTAGGACTCACTGTACGTCCACTAATGATTTTATAAACTATTCTAATAATCATTTTTGTTGAAAAAAAGTAATATCCACAAACTTCCTTCAGCAGAATTTAAAGAACATTCATATCAGAAATCCTACACAACAGCATTTGAACACAGATGCCACACTCTGCACACATACAAACGAGTATCACGCACTCCTCAGACCACAGACTTACTCCTTTGAAATTAATGCACACACACTCTCTTGGACACAGGTCTACTGGCTCCATTAGTCTCACATAAGAGGAGAGGAAAATAAGTTAATTATTGAGTTCTTATACCTGGAGAAGCTTTCACGGCATTTTTGTCTCTCTGCATGTAACTAAGGTGGTAAGATCGCACCCATCCCTGTCCCATCCTTACACTCACTCCCCTGGTCATCCGCTAATGGCCGCTGTCGGGAACAGGATGGGGAAGGGTGGGCTGGGGGAATGTGACACCAATTTCTGACCCCCGCATGAAGACCTTTATAAGAGACTTCTACAGCGAGTGACAGTACTGAAGTTAAACTCATAATGCTGAGTAACACGAATAACTTACTCTTATGTTCATCCAGATGATGGTATTTTCTCTTTTGGGCATGAGTCATGACTTTGGATCTAACTCTCCTATCTCACACAGTTAATTCCTACATCTAACAGTGGGTACCAGTGGTCTTCTTTGGATCCCAGTTCTCCTCTACATACAAACTACTGCTGTCATTTATTCTTGGAAGACTGAAGGATTTAAGGTCAAAACACAAAAATTTACTGCCATCACAAAAAAGTACTGCATCAAAGCAGCAGAACGTGCTTTTTGAGAAACGTGAACTTTTCAGTTCATAAGAAATTGTGTAATAATATGTTTTAATAAAATTAAAACAGTTTAATAATATGTATGTAGTATAGCTAATACAAAACATACATAGTGTATCTAATACAATGAATGAATATGTAATATGATCAATGAATCCAGAAAACTGACAACTTATTTCTCTAGTGCGCAAAAAATCAAATCATCTGAGAACACAAGCTCTTACTCGGCATATAGGGTGGTTTTAACTTTAACTTTTAGAAAAGCTACTTACCCTATCTTATACCAATACTTACTTGTGGCAGAAGTTTTCAAGTATTGCTTTTAGGTTTCTTTTCTTAACAGAAAAGCCATCTGAACGCAAAAGTTACCGCAGCTTCACTATAAGACTGAAAGCCAAAAACTGATGTAGCCAGTTGAGAGGTTTGTCCCAGTGTCTCCATCAGGAAAACGTTCTACAGAGAACTGTCATTTCATAGGTACAGAGTTATGGGCTGCGTGATCTTTCTACTTTCCCTAGCAACTCCAGGCACGGATTTAACTACTAGGATTTTTTTGCATGACCTTTCTGATTTCCTACTACTGTATCTCAGCAAAATCACGCAGGAAAAAATTAATGGTTACCTTTCTTTGTTTTCACAACTGGCTTTTCCTTTGGTGGGATGAAAGCTTTATTTCTTTCTTCTTGTCTTTTCTTGACTGCGTCTGCTTGCTTTGCCTAAAGTTACCAATAAAAAGGTCAATTATCAGTAGAGGAGGGCAAAAGGGACAAAAGCCAAATCCAAGTCAGCAGCCAAATGCTTTTTAACCGAGCAGTGGGTTAGAAGAACTTTACCTTTATCTCTTCCACTCGCTTTCGTTTCTTCTGTCTGTCTTTCAAGAAGTATTCACCACTTGCCAATTCTTTATCAATCTGCGTAAGACAAGTACCGAGAAGCTTCAGACGTATGGTATCAGGAAATCAGAACTTGGCAGAAAAGGCCTCCCAGCCTCTTGTTAGCAAGACCGAGATTTCAAGTCACGCTATATTCCTGCGTAAGCAAATAAAGTTTCAGCTGACCTGGCTTTCTGGCTGCGGAGGTGGGAACGGTGTGTACTCCTTCTTAGTATTTTTCTTCTTTGGCTCCTTGCGCTTTTTCAAGTTCTTCCGCTTGAACTTAGGCAAAAATCTTTCCCAACTTTGTGACCTCAGTTCAGGATCTTTCACTAATTCCCTTTTGATCATCAAAGTCTTCAGTAGTTTTAGAATGTGACAAAGAATATATTAAAAAATAGTATTACGGTAGTAGCCAAGAGCTCCAAACTACAAGTTTTACTTAACTTTCTTACAGTGAATACACCATACGTGCACCTTCCATCCTTCACTTCGCTAACAGCAGAGGAGTTTAATTACAAACAGCAGAACCGGAAAGACAGAGATGTCTCAGAAGCACTGGAAAAGGTGCCTCAGTTTAAATGAGCAAATAGCAAGCAAACAATCACAAGGGAAAGTTTATAAGCACTTTTCCTTTTATATTTTTTCAGATAATTTTAATGATATTATGGCACTGCATCTTGGTAAAATGGAGGATATCAAAGTCAGGTTTTTTTAAAACAGATCACTACACAGAAACATGTAAATTCTTAACATACAGCTCTCTGAGAGGAAATAGTACTTTCTTGTAAATAAAGATGCACAGTGGACCATGCTAACCTTAATGTTATATATGGGATGTATATTCTTCATTGTGTCCAGAACAACTTTTCTAACCTGTATTTAATGGAAAAAAAAAAAAAAGAACAGAAAACTCAGCAACTATTTCATATTCTAATTGATTAAAATACCAGGTGTACTACCATGCTGCCTCTATCCCCCGCCCCAAAACTAAGCGTTTTTACAAATGCTAACACACACGGCTAACTAGAAGGCACAGCACTTCAGAAATATCATTAACATTGTCATGTCTCTAGTACATTTCAGCAGGCCCCACAAACATTACTTTCACCACACCATGGATTTCATGGTGTCATGAAAAACTCTTGCTTTTGACAAGCATTCTTCTCCTACATAGTGACTAAAAACATCAGAAGTTCCTTAAGGTTATATATCATTAACTACGCAGTATTTTCACTCTTACACCTCTTACTGGAAACTACAAAAAATCTTGCTAAAAAAAAAAAACCCAAACAAACAAACCAGAGTATTTCACAAATACTTTTTTACTTCCAAGACAGACAGATCTCGGAGTATAAACAAAATTCAGCACCAAAGACTATGAACGTTGGTGTAAATGTATCTTATAACACACTGATGAAAAGTCAGTGAGATACTCTCCAGGTTGCCAGATTTTGCCTCTCGTCTGCCCTCAAGCTGGGCAAGCAAGTATGCTACACAAACTGCTCATCTGCCTCCCCTTACCTCTTTTAGTCCACTAAAGGGTCCAAGAGCCGAAACAGTGTTGCCTTGCACCATAATATAACAGTTCGTTAACAGCTCCAGGGCCTAAACCAAAACAAAAAATCAAGTGTAAGCTAATGACCTGACAGAAATTTGTGTCTAAGAATTTTGTGGTTACTACACCTATCAGAAATACCTTCAGAGTGGATCCTTTTGGCCCAAGCAGTCGCCCTCTTCTTTTTATAAAAGTGTCTCTCTTCCTCACCAGAGAGCCTATTTTAATGATGTCACATGCAACGTCATCCTGAAGGATACGAACTGCCTAATGAGACAAGGAGCAGCCAATATCATTGGAACGCAAATGTATTATTCAGAAGAGTCAAGAGAAGAGGTCAGTTTATTCTTCTCACTTCAATTTCAGATATATTTACTTTAAATATACATTTTACTTGACTCACCTGCAAATCCCACATTTTGAAAATGTACTATTTTATAAGTATTGTGACAGAATTTGATACAAACTTCTAGGATTTACTACGGACCTGTTCAAATGGAACGCTTCTTGCCAGAAGTTTTATTAAATCTCTAGCCCTGATGATTGCATACGGATCAAAAGTCTTCTTAGTGGTAGTGACAGTCATGCTTCCTTCAATTAGATCCAGCGTTGCATTCACATACTGCAATATTTGAAAAGAAATAGTGAATCAGTCTCTAAGTAAGAACCTCAGAATTCATCTTTGGCAGTAAGAAGTTAACAAACAGAACGCCACATACTGAATGCAAATCCATTTTCCAAATTTCCTAAAGTGACTTTCAGCTTAAGGAAATTCACGCACAAAAAAGACTGAATATTGTATCACAAGGCCCGAAACAGGTCTCCTTGAATTCGGGCGCAAGAAAATTGCCAACATCTGGACAAGGAGACACTTGCTGCTGCAGAGAGCTTTGGTCACAACATCTGTAAAGAACCGCAAGTCTGACTACACACATCTTCATCAATTTCGGTGACAATAAAAAAATGACACTGACAATTCTAAACGCAAGCACAGCAGAAATATACACAAACACAACATCAGAAAAGCAACCTGCACTATTTTTATAAGCTTAAGTAACACCTGCATCTCCCAAAAGATAAAACACAGCATCACGATCAGGAAGGACGCATACGTTTTCACCCAAGGCTTTCTGGACGAGCGGCCAGCACTCTTTCAAGTACGATTCTCTATACTTTGGGAACAACGTTGCAAAACTACTTTCTTCCAGCAACCCTTTGGGATTATCTTCTCTTGTGAAGGCTGGCTCTTTCCACCCATCTGGCACAGTGAGAAGCTCAGATTCATCAACTGTCAGAGGTATAAAGAAATAATTAAACAAAAAGTTGTTTTTTCCTCCTCTTTTTATCAATGACTGTTACTTCTCCTCCCCGTTTAACTACAAAAGGCACCACAAGTGAAAGTAGGGACAGAAAGTTTTGCCTAACACTCTGCCTTCTGCATCTCTTCCGACCTTAAAGAAGTTACTGGTTTAAGGTATTTATTTAACAAGACAACAATTCCGCCGCGGGCCGGGCCGAGGCGAGCAACCGGAGCGCCGGGCGG